GAGTTGATCGCCACCCTGAGGGCCAATACAGTCAGAAGGAGGAATGGCCGGGCCAATATATACCTATTTGGCACAGAATACTCACATCGACTCCTCTGCTGCGTCTGCGACGTCATGCACATTGCACGGCCTTTGCGAGGTCCGCCTTTTGCTGTGAATTGTCTTGTTCGACGTGTCATCATCACTGAAACGGCCGTGAGCATGCCTTTGACTCTCTGACGGCCTTGTTTACATCTGCAGGTCAAAAGCAGTCTGCCCACGTTCAATGCGAACATTGTGGGAGCACGGGCTCGTGCCAGCAGTGAACCGTCTCGACTCTCGACTCTGGAGGGCAAATATTGTCACAAGATATATCGGGTACCAACACACAAAAGAATATGGCGTGGCCACGCGCATTTTTGGTGCGACAAGTATGGACTGGAAGGCACTTGTTGCATAGTTGTTCAAAATGCCATTGTTAAATACATGTTTCTAACACGACTGCTTGAACCAGATCAACAATGATGGACTTGTTTCACCCGGGTCATCTTGTGGCCCGTTCACTTTATGCCGGCGACCAATGCCGGACCCAGACATCTGCGGCCGGCACGCAGCAAGTTTTTGAAAGAGTCCGGTCGGTTTGTGCTTTCAATGTTCGGCCCGGGCCGTTAGTGTCATCTGCCAGTTCTATTATTGTCGTACTCGCTTTTGTCACTTATCGACATGACAGCGTGGAGATGCAGGGTCCTTCTTTGAAACTATCCGAAACAAAGGTTGCAGATTCGGGTCACCTGTCCATCCAACAAGGAACCCGCATACACAGCCACCATGTAGGCTTTCTTGTGCAAGACAGCCAGGCCTCTGCGTAACGATGACGAGGCTGATCGGCCTCGTACAAGCGATATCCAGGCTTTCTGCAAGCGATTATGTTACACGGTTAGAACCCAACAACAAAGCCCAACAAAGGACCATCGCCGATAAAGGACCCCGAGGTTACACATACCGAACAAATGACCCGGTGGAAACTTTAGGCACAGCTGTTCCCTTCATGTATATGTATTAGTCACCCATCCATCCCTTTGTCTGGGAAAACCTAGGACTCAACCCAGATCCCATTCTTCGTCCCTCTTCAAAACAGCGTCCACTGCCAAAACCAGCACGATACCGCGCAACCTTGGGCTTTGACAAAGAACAACGATGGCTAAGGCGTGTCAAACCACGCGTTTTTCAGCAACTCTTGCACCTTGGGCCTCTGATGCGGTTCGTACCTCAGCAAACCGGCCAGCATCTCCGCCCACTGCCCCTGCTCGGCAGTGACATCGTCGCCAAAGGCCCTCTTGCAAATCTGGCCAGCCGCCGCCGCCGTATTCACACTGCCATCTCCAAGCTCTTTCATTCGCTCTCCTATCACGGAGGAAATCTCATATTCGTAGTCGTCCTCGTCTAACACAACCAGATGAGGGACTTCAAACAAGTGCTTGCCAACGCGAACTTCGTACAGAGTACAAGCCAACGACCATGTGTCCACTTCCCGGCCACCGCTTCTCTTCCAAATCACCTCTGGCGCCGCATAATCGGTCGGTATGCCAAACGGCGGCTGTTCCACGGCCGTCTTCACAGCCTGCCCAAAGTCGATGATGACGGCCCGCGGCAAGATGGGCCCCAGGTCGGTCGTCTCGTGAAAATCGACCTGTTGAACCATGTATTTGGGAGCGTATGGGACGTCCGGAGTCGGGTTACAATCCTCGCGAATGGTAATGCTTTGCGTCTTGGGCTCGCCAAGCTTCTCTAGCACCTGGTTCTCTTCGAGGCCATCAAGGCTTTGTAGTTCCAAGACCACATTTGCCGGGCGCAAGTCTGGTCTCGTTAGCGGGCTGGAAAGTAAGCCGGGAGCCATGAGAACTTGCCTGCGTGACAGATGCCGTAACTGTGTAGACTGGCTACAGCTTCAACGAGGCTGCGCGATACTTGGCGTAGCATGATGCCATCTGCGTCTCGCTCCTCGTTGAAAATCCAGGCGGCGTGATTCACCGTTGGCCCGAGGACCGGGAGGACAAGGCAGAGGTGCGTTCCATTGGGGCTCTCACTGGTAAATTGCTCCTTGGGAAAACAAAAGTAACGGCTCTGATGATGGAGATTTTGGTCTTGGAATACACGTAGCTCGCGGCATTCTGCTTCCTGTAGGTGAGCGACGAGGATCTTGACGGCGACGTACGTTGGGTTGCTTTGACTTTGGTCACGGCAGAGCCATACTATGGAGGAGCCTCCGTAGCCTAGCTTATGAATAACACGGAACCGGCCATTATAAAGCTCGTCTCCGAGATGAATAGGATGATGGCCACCTGGTTGGTAACCGACTAGTTTCTCCATCTCCAAACTATCATTTTGCCAACCATCATAGTAGAGCCGTCTCCAAAGCTGCGAGGGATGGTGGGAGTATTCTCTTTTTGGCGGAGGCCCAGAAGGGCGAGAACTTCTTGGGGCCAAGCCCGGTCTTCGTATTGGCTTTTTTCTAGGAAGCATGAGCGGGGATGGAGGTCAAGTATGGGAATCCAGCTCTGTCGGGCGTGGGATGGCGGAAATAGCGGTGGAGAGGTCAACGTTGGTTGAAGCTTTGACACATGGACGACCCCTGACGGCTACGCTCTTTGTCTTCTTATCCAATCATTACACGTTGCTTCGCTGCAGCTTGGGCGTCTCTGTGCGACAGCCCGAGAAACGGAGCACGTTGACAGGCGTGATGCCCTCGACTGCATCCCCGTGACTGATTACGAGGGGCTTCAGCTCAACACAACCAACGGCAGTAACCAACAAGAAGCTTGGTGAAAGAAACGGCGGGGGATAGATCCTTTCCCTTCATCAACCCCCAAGAACCTCCCAAGGCAGAGGCCATTGCCTATCTGGAAACCCCAACAGAAGCACTCCGGCCGGAGCCCAGATCATCATCGTCTCGGGGGACGGCAAGACCAACGCCCTGGAGGAGCTCATTGTCGACCTTGACAAGAATGCAATCACAAGGAGGATCCCGCTCAAAGGGAGACACTCTTACATTGATGCGCAGTACATGCAGGCCGCCGATCCGCAGGTTCAAGATGAAATCAACAAGCTTGATCTTCCTCCCGGGAGCACCGTCCGCGTCGAGTCGTGGGCCTATGCGACCGACGGCATGAACGACATGACACAACGAGTGTTGATGGTATGTACTCTTTCGTTGTGAGGTTAAGCAAAAAAGATACCAAAAAATAACATACAACACTGGGTATTCGCTGGTCGTCACCGACCCAACTACTAATCCAGCGCTCGCTAGGTTATCGTACGAGATCGGACGGGATCGTGATTGCTGCTAGCGGCTGTGGTCGTATGTACTAGATTCATTGTCTGTCCTCCCTATAAATCCTTAGCCAACCAACCTCACAGCCCCTAGTCTGAGTCACCTAGTGCTGCTTATATATGAGACTGGTCGACAACCCCGACGCAAACTTTTACACGTCAACCCATTGTCGCTGTCCGCAGAGATATCGGAGCACCCCCAACGTCTCGCGTGGACATTACCTGCCGTCCATAGCAGACGAGCGCCTCCAAACCACAGGCAAGCCGTTTGACAGGCAAAAGATTCACCGTCATCATCGAGCGTACCATCCCAGCCTCCGGCCGCCGCCACGCACCACCACGAAGCCGTACGCGCGAAAGGGCGCCTTTGACCTGGGCAACGACGGGCACGCCAACTCCCTACAGGTGGACGAGTCGGCCGCCATGCCGGTCGACGACGCCCACGTCCACAACCACTTTGGTGTCTGGTCGGGTACACCACCTCGTCCGCCATTGTCGAGAGCGAGCAGGGGCTCGACCTGGACTTTGCCAAGAACCGCGTCTTCGAGATTGTCAACGAGGGAAAGACCAACGACGTGCCCCGGACGCCGGTCGGACTCAAGCTGGTCCCCTGCTATAGCCAGCTGCTCCTTGCGCACGCGGTGTGGGTGATGAGATACCACGACGACGAGGTGTTTCCCGCAGGGCGGTACACGATGCGGTCGCGCGGAGGGGAGGGCCTGGCGTCCATGATTGCGAAGAGAAGTGCCCGGGGGGCGGCTCCTCGTCGATGAGGAACCAGGACATTGTGGTCTGGCACACGTTTGGCTCGACGCACAGCCCGAGGAGCGAGGACTGGCCCGTGATGCCGTCGGAGAAAATTGTGGTTGACCTCAAGCCCGTCAACTTTTTCAAATATAATCCCACCTTAGACAAGGCCGTGTCCACGCAGGACAAAGAACCAAAGCGTCTTGGTCGACGGCGCGCAGGCTGCGTCATGTTTCTACGACGGTAAATGATAGAAAAACAGACAAGCTCGGTGGCGGACATGGCCGCCTTTTCCCAGCATCTACCTGGGCCCAGGACATTTCGGCCCATCATCGTGGGTGCCCTTTCTTCAGTGACGGGTCTGGCCTGCCATGGCCCCCTTTTCCAATGATGCGACAAGCCGGTTGCGTGGCGATGCGGTAAATGACTGCCATCGCCACAAGCTATGTGCTGTTGCATTATGCGATTCAGGCTGCCCGGGCCGTCGTGCGTGGGCGGCCCCGTCTGTGCGGGATCATATAATCATGATTAGCATATTAGTTGACCGTGACAAAAGAGATGTAATCCCCCAAACTAACCCTTTGCGGGAAAAGGTACCGCTATTGCCGACACCTTGTGTTCGTAACCGGCATAGCCGTGGCTATAGATGCGGATGATTCCTGATGCTCCTTGTCGACAAGGCCCAAGGACGGCCCCTTTTGGCCTCGTCGTCGAGTGGAGAGGACAGAATTTCGCAAGTTTAGTTGGCGAGCTGCCATTTATGGCCTCGGCGCTATGGGCTATGCCAAAACTGTTCGGCTCCACGGCCAAAAAGCTGCGACAGAGTTGCATTGGGACGGGGCGCGCCTAGAGGACTCGTGTATGTTGTCTCAGAACTTGTTCATGGTCAGCCGTGTCAGCCCTGTCGCTTCACGACCGATTCGGGGCGTGTTATTGGCTCGGCACGCCGTGGATAGAACGCCGTGCCGTTTCTGGAACTACCTTGACTACCGACCGAGAACGGTACGCGATGCGAGAAGAAAGAGGCCTCTCCTATACGAGATTACGGTCGCTCGGTGGGCGGCCGAACGGCAATAGCGTCTTTTGGCTTTGACGTTGCAAGCGTCCTTGCGAGGGGGTCGAGCCGACGGACGGCCGACATCCTCGGGCGAATCAGTGAAATGGCGACATGATGGAAGAGAAACACCAGCCATGGCATGTCTATACCCGGCTAGCAAATTGGTATATAAAGGAGTGATGCTGCTCCTGCTCTGGTTTGAAAAGTGCAGGATAAGCCTCTACGCCGATCCCAGCTACTTGCTACTGCCAACATGATTTCCACCATGATCTGCCAACTCGCCTTGTGGTTGACCCTGTTCAGCTGGACCATCTCTGGCGACGCTGGTGTTGGAGCCGTGCTCGAGGCCAGGGCACCTCCGCCGCTGCCCAGCGCAGACGGCTTCTACAAACTCCCCGACAACTTGGACTCGTATGCCCCCGGAGCCATTATCCGGCACCGGCCGCCTCCAAACCCCATTGCGGTAGCCGGATTGATACATTCCCAGAACCAGTATCCCGTCCATCTCGATGCGAGCTACCAGCTCCTCTACCGGACCACGGATAGTCTCAACAACGCCACGGCCACGGTGCTCACCGTCCTCGTCCCGCGCAACGCCAACTTCAACAAGGTCCTCTCGTACCAAGCGGTAGACGATGCTTCCAACATCAACTGCGCGCCGTCGTACGCGTTCCAGCTGGACTCGGGCCCGTCCGTCGCCCAGGGCGAGGTGCTGCTCGTCGAGGCCGCCCTCGAGCAGGGCTGGGTCGTCATCGTCCCCGACTACCTCGGGCCCAAGGGCGCGTTCCTGGCAAAGGCGCTCGCGGGCCAGGCCGTACTGGACGGCATCCGCGCCGCCCGCAACTCGGGCGCCATCACGGGCATCGGCAAGAACCCGACGGTCACGCTGTGGGGGTACTCGGGCGGCAGCCTGGCGACCCTGTTCGCCGCGGAGCTGCAGCCCTCGTACGCGCCCGAGGTGGCCATTGCCGGCGCGGCGGCGGGCGGCGCCGTGCCCAACATCACCACCGTGCTGGGCAAGGTCGACGGCACCGGCGCCGCCGGCCTCATCCCCGCCGGCATCCTCGGCCTCGCCCACCAGTACCCCGAGGTCGACGCCCTCATCCAAAAGCACGTCCTGCCCCAGCACAAGGACGAGTTCTACAAGGCCGACAAGATGTGCCTTCTGGGCAACATCAACGAGTTTAGCGGCAAGAACCTGAGCCAGTTCGTCGACGACCCCTCGCTGCTCTACGCGAATCCTACGGTGGTCAGGATCGCGGGCGAAAACGACCTGGGGCAGCATGCCCCCAAGGCGCCGCTGCTCGTGTACAAGGCCACCAAGGACGAGGTGAGCCCCGTGGCGGAAACCGACGCCCTCGTCGACTGGTACTGCAAGCAGGGCGCGACGGTCCAGTACCTGCGGGACGAGAGCACCAACCACGAGTCGTTGGCTGTTACGGGTGCGCCCAAGGCGCTGGCCTGGCTGAGGGGAAGGATGAATGGCGAGGACCACCAGACGGCCTGTGAGACCAAGACCGTCTACTCTGTCTTGTTGGATTTCGGTGCCCTGGCCATTTTGCCCAAGGTCCTTCTTGACGCGTTCTTGGACGTGATAGGGAAGCGCGTAGGGCCGTTTATTAAATGGTGATGCGCCTCAGGGGCAGCATGACATGTATGTATGACATGTATGAGATATATAGTAGGGCTAGCCAGTCATCTTACATGGTTGGCGTTGTATATAGCTACCAATGATATTGATTCATTCCACATGTCCGTAAATT